TAAGGAACCCAGCTCCAGGAATGATTTGCCTCCTGAGCAACCTGAATTGGGGAACAAACCCCATAAAAACATCATTTCAGAGCAATTTGCCGTTCCACAATAAAAGCAGATACGCAATTTACGCAGGAAACACCCCCAGGAAAACAAATGACTGTAATGAGTGGAAAGGGGAGAGTTTGCAAGTTTGGATCTTCCCTGCACCGTGTCCTCACCGCTTGTGTTTTGATTTCCTTCCCACTCTACTCCTCGTTATTCCCAGGGAGACAACAAACAGCTCCTCACTCGGACTGCTGGTGGGAGGAGAGCTTTCTGCTTGGCAGGACTGGAGGTGTCTCGAGCTGTTAGGAAAAACATCATTTCCCCTGGTGTCATTAGTGAGGAGGGCACGGCTGGCCAGCGGAGGGCTCCTTGCTGGGAAACCCAAATTGTGCAGGCACTGCCTGTAGAAAGTAAGGCCAGAAAGGAAAACCCACAAAACTCACCACTTTTGGAAGCAAAAATTAAAAGATGTGCTTGCAGGAGTAACACAAACACCCTCCACATCGCATAAACTACTTGGGTGCTTTTCTTGTTTGTTTGAAACTCCAAAGGTTTGTTAGCGCTGCCTTGGGATGAAGGAAGACTATTTATGTAGGTATGCACATGGTATGATTGTTATCTGGGTATGGGATCCACATTGCTGGGCTGTTTTGCAGAGGTAAAAGCGTTGAAGAGCACTGGTCCACACAGGGGGCTTCACCCATGACCAGCATCCACCTGGACGTAGAAACATTGACCCCAACGCTGTGGCTGTGACCATCCCACTCTTTCTCCACTGGGTAGTGCTGCCTTCAGATCCATCTCTCACCAACTTAGAGATAAGGATGAGGTGTGGGACCATGTCAAAGGCCTTGCACAAGTCCAAGTAGATGACTTCAGTTACCCTTTCTTTGTTTACCAAAACAGGAAGAGGACCCTTCTCTTTGGCACAGCAGTCCTCAGTCAGAGAACAGGCTGCGAGACAGCTGCATTTTCCTTACCTCTACAGTCCTCTTGGCCCATGAGCAGCTTCATTCCCAAGCCAGCAGGCTGTGGAAAATCCCATGAGCTTTGCAGGACATGGGAGCCAGTCCCATGCTCTCCATCCACTGAAATGTTGCCAAGCCCTTTTCCTGCCGACACGTGTGTTTAGGTTTGGAGCATCCCCCCCCCCACCTCGAACTCTCCCTGTCTCAGCACTGGATGGAAAGCACTGCCTGTAGCACAAAAGTAAACGGGGGACAAGGAGAAGCCCAGAGCAAGGTGTGATGCCATGCTCTGTTTCTTGGCTGTGGCAGCAGGAAGGTGGCAGCAGGAAGCACTCCTCTTACAGGGCTACCTTTCATGTGGACTGCTGATAGCAGCGTGTTCACAGCTCTCTCTATCTGGGGGCATCCTGATCCTGCAGCTGTTATGTTTGCATCACCAGATATGCACCCACCTATGTGCATCAGGGTCCCTCTGAGGGTGGCCATGGCCCTGGGGCTCTGCAGTCTCACAGTACTGGAGGAAGGGCTTAGGAAAATAACTCAGTTACCACCGAAGGTTATGATATATTTTCCTTAGCTTTTCTGAAAAACCTCCTTATAAACACTTGTTAATAAAAATAGAAAAATGAACAAACATTCTCCTCAAAGAGAAAAAATAATAATATTCATAAATGCATATACAAATAGGCATGCTTGTGCATGTGATATCATAACGTGTGCGCACTCACGCCTGTTTGCAAAGCCTTGCTGGGCAGTCACTGATCCATCCTGCTATACTCTGAGTTTTGGAAGTGTTTTTTATTTGTTGTTATGGCTTTTTCCGCCTTGTATTCAAAGTTGCTTGCTTCTCTAGTTCCTTCCAGGCTTTTTAAAATAACTCCAGGGCTCTTGGCAGCCTGGCTGATGCATTGCATTGTGTGTGTCGGCTCCTGGTGCTGCTGTCTGGGAGGAGCTGGCAGAGGGAGGGCAGGGAGAGGGGCCCACATCTCTGTGGGTTGGGGTCTGAAATCACTGGATGCTAGCATTTGAGCAAAAAGATGATGTGCAACTGACAGATAGAGATGGATAGACCACCATATAATCAACCATAGAATGGAATCACAGAATCATAGAATGGCCTGGGTTGCAAAGGACCACAATGCTCATCCAGTTCCAACCCCCTGCTGTGTGCAGGTCACCAACCAGCAGCCCAGGCTGCCCAGAGCCACATCCAGCCTGGCCTTGAATGCCTGCAGGGATGGGGCATCCACAGCCTCCTTGGGCAACCTGTGCCAGTGCCTCACCACCCTCTGTGTGAAAAACTTCCTCCTGATATCCAACCTAAACCTCCCCTGTCTCAGTTTAAGACCATTCCCCCTTGTCCTATCACCGTCCACCCTTGTAAACAGCTGTTAAACAATCAGAAGACAACTGGTTTTGGGAGCTGTTCCTTCTATGAGAACCTTATAAAAAATCCCTGTTCTTTTTCACCTGCCTGCCAGGCATGCGAGCCAGCATACCCACTGTTACCATAAGTGTAATTGAGATGATAGCTAGAATCTAAAGGAAGCAGTATCCTTCTTCCTGTTGGTCGTTCTTCTTGCACTCCTGCTAATTCCAGCCACCAGGCATCACCCTCAGAAATGTTCAACTGGAAAACATTCCAGTTAGTAAAATTTTCTGACTTTAAAAGCAGATGATGAAGATCTGACGTGGAGGTTCCTGTGCTTACAGCACGCTAATCCAATCAGGTGTTATTGCAAGCCACAGAGGAGGCTGTATAAACGGTATTCTAAACCATCAAGAGAGCCAGCCCAGCTGCACTCACCACGTCTCACCCCAGCCTCTTGCACTGACTTAGTGTCCATCCCCATGGCATCAGGATGGTGAGGCCCCGCTCTTGCTCTCGTCCTTGGGGTCCCAGAGGAAACCCAGTTCCTCCTATTCTTCTCAGCAGCTATTTGTGCAGGTGTCCCCCCGCCCCCAGGGCCATTGTCCCTTGTCCTAGCCTTGAGCCTTCTGCACAAACACTTGGGGATGATGTCAGGCAGACCGTATACATTTCCTTCTTTGGCCTCTGAGAAATGTTTTTTAACCAAGTCCTTATTATTTTTATTTGCAGCGTGCCTTTGGGCAGGATTTCTGGTCTCGAGAAGATAATTTGGTTTTGATTAGCAGCCCAGACAGGGGTTTATAGACTTGTTCAACCGTGGGGGGTTGAGAAATCAAACCCCTTTAATTTAGAACCAGGACTTTTCTTGCTTTTTAAATAGGATCATCAACCCAACCGAGAACAAACTTAGTAAGTGTGATGTATTTAATAAAAGCAATAGAAGCATGATGTGTTTTTAAGTTACCAAAACCTACTGTCTTGCCAAACCTGTGGGCAAAAATATTAACGTTAGCTTTGTAGATGAAGATCTCACTAAAAAGTGCAGGGAAGAGGGGGGGGGAGGGGGCTTCCTGTCCGAATTGCAACCAGCCTGTAAACAGCTCTAGCAGGAAAAGACAAACATTTATTTAAAAATAAAACGCCAGTGGACAAAACTGTTACCTGTATTCTTGCAAATGGAAGGAAAGGATCTGATGCTACAGCCTTGATCTTATCCACTGCACAGGGACACTGACTGCCACATCTTAGACCCCGTTAGAACTTGTGCACAACATAAGGAAAAACATCACCAGCAACTGATCAAGCAGCTGGGGCAACTTCTTACACATCACTTCTCATTGCAGATCTAAGCACTGTTGGTTTTGTCCATAACACCCACTGGAAAGGGTTCAAAGGAGCTGGGGCTGAGAACAGGCCATTTTTGGCTGTGGAACTTTGACAAAAATGCTTGTATGAGTTGACTGAAATACGTGGTAGACTGAGTGCTCAGTTTGTTGGGCTGTGTCAGCTGGAAAGAGAAAACACTGGCAGTGTTTTTACAAAAGGAAAGATATGTTCTGGGGTAACAGAAAGGAAATGCTTTTGTGTTGAGCACTGTTATTTTGTAACATGTAAGAGGGAATTCTTCCCATTTCTTCCAGTAGGAAATTTTGAATAAAAATAATTCTAGATGGCATCAAAGTATTTTTTCCTTCCAAGCCAATGGCTGGAGTTTTGTTACTCAACCAGAATGCTCCACGGCTTGCAAGTGCCAGCTGTGCTCTCCATAAGCAATGCTGTCTCCAGACAGATAACACCATCCCATAGCTGGGGTTTCATCCCCATAGTGGATTTCATGGGATGTGGCAGTAGGATTGCATCTCCTGTCCTCTCTGTTGGGCTGAAGGTTATGGCAGCTTTAGGTGTGCCAAGGTCTGGAAGCCAGGCATGGGTACCCAGCGCCCAGGGATGTGGTATGTGAGCAAGTCTGCGGAATGAGAACTAAAATCTGTAGTTTTTAGGTTTTGGAGACTTTCATATTTAGGGTGTAAATAGAGATGGAGACCAAGTAGCTCAGACCCCACAGCTCTTTAGCCCCAACAGAGGCAGCTGCAGTGCCCCAGCCTCTGGGTAGATGTGGCAGGCACGAAGACATCCGCAACTGCAGCTGTTCCTCATCCCAGCTCTGCTTATCACACCATTCTCTTCACATCCCATGGCAGCCCCGTGGTGTGCCAAGATGCTGTGCTCCACATCAGCACTTGGCTCTTTTGTTCTTCCCCCCTCTGGCATACCAGACGTTTATATGGTTGGGCAGATGAGCAGTCCCACATTGCTCAGTGTCACTGAGCCTCTCCAGCCCATTCATCTCCATCCAGAGACCTCCAAACAGCGAATGGAAAGCAAAAGGAGCGTTGTATCAGGAGAGGCTTTTCTGCAGCTCTGCAGGACGGGCTGTTACTCAGCCTGTAATGCTGTCACCAACTTGACCTCTCTGCAAACACTGCTCGAACTGGCAGGAATCGACTTTAGAAGGCCAGTTTGCAGAAAATAAATAAATAAATAAATGAATAAATAGCTGCTATGTGTTTGTTTAAACATCACAGAGCACTGCGTTCACATCTTTGCCCTGGAACTGACGGCCTCCTGTGGAGCCACTGACACCAACTTAACCCAGCAGACTGCCCTGCACCGGGATTGGGGTCAGGTGAGGGGATATCGGGATGGGGCTGGGGCTGCGGCGGTGCTTCCATGGGCTCAGCTCCGTTCTGGCAGCATGGAGGTTCTCACGACCCAGCTCCTATTCCAGGGCTCGTCCAGCTATTTAAAGCTCACCAAGAGGGGAAAAGTGCTCTGAAAATGCAGTTTCTGTGCACTAGATGCCGTGCCAAATATTCTGTCTCTTTCATAGGCGGATAGCGAGGGATCCCACGGCTTGTCGGGTTTGTTTTTTTGCCCACTTTCAGCCATATGTGCTCGGAAGCTACAAGGCCCTATTAGGGATTTGGAAAGTCATCTAGCGGGTGAGCGAGCAGAGCTAGCCCTCCGAACCAAAAAAAAGCAGGATGCAGGATGCTTTCTCATCCAGAAAAACAGCGCCGGCCAAAATAAAGAAAGCACTTCTGCAGCGAAAAGCCTGAAATGGGAAGCAGCAGCCTGCCTCGCCTGGGGAGAAGGGAAGAAACAGAGGCAAACATCCCGCCCGTGACCAACACGCAACCACACTACAGGAAGCAGTAGCCTCCGGTGATAAATAGGAGCCCCGGCAGCACAGGATGCGCGTGGGGTGAGCTCGGCGGGCCGAGGGGATGTGAGGCAGTGTCCGTCCATCCGTCCAGCCGGCGGGATGGCCGCGGCCCTGCTGCTGCCGCTGTGGCTGCTGCTGCTGGTGACGGCGGTGGCACGGGGTGAGGACGCCGAGGTGCTCTGCGCCGACACCGCCTGCTACACGCTGCACCGGGCCGAGCTGGGATGGGGCGCTGCACAAGAGCGCTGCCAGCACGACGGCGGCAACCTGGCTCCAGCAAGCAGCCGGGCCGAGGCCGAGCGACTTGAGCAGCTGCTGACAGCCAGCGCGGCCGCCTCGGCGTGGATCGGGCTGCGGCTGGAGCGCGGCCACTGCGTGCAGTCCCAGGAGCCGCTGAGGGGCTTCGCCTGGGCGGCCGGCGGGGAGCCTGGCAACTACTCAGCCTGGCTGGCCGAGCCCCACGTCACCTGCCTCAGCACCCGCTGCGTCGCCCTGCGGCCCGCCGGCCCCCACGGGCCTCCAGGATGGGTCGACCGGCCGTGCCGGGCCACGCTGCCCGCCTTCCTCTGCAAGTTCAGCTTCCGGGGGATGTGCGGGCCCCTGCGGCTCGGGGGGCCCGGCCGGGTCAGCTACGAGACGCCCTTCAGGGTGCGCAGCCCAGCACTGGCAGCCGCCCCCTTTGGCACGCTGGCAGAGGTGGTCTGCGAGGGGGCTGCGAGCCCGGCCTTCTCCGTATGCAAGGGGCAGCTGGAGGGGGACAGCTTTGCCTGGCATCCTCCCGGGCCCCTCTGCCCCAACACCTGCACCTACAACAACGGGGGCTGCCAGCAGCTGTGCATGGAGGCATCTGGGCAGCCGTCTTACTGTACTTGCCATCCTGGCTACGTGCTGGGCCCCGACATGGCCTCCTGTCTGCCCGAGGATGCCTGCCACCCCAACCCCTGCCAGGGGACCTGCCAGCCCCGGCCCGGAGGCTTCGAGTGCATCTGCGAGGCTGGCTACATCCTGGCACCTGATGGCCTCCACTGCGTGGATGTGGATGAGTGCCTGGAGGAGCCCTGCAAGCACGAGTGCCACAACACGGCCGGCAGCTTCTACTGCTCCTGCCAGCCCGGCTACCAGACAGCAGGGCCTGATGGCCGCGACTGCCGCGATGAGGATGAGTGCGCCCGGCCCAATGCCTGCCCCCAGCTCTGCCTCAACATCCCCGGCTCCTTCCGCTGCACCTGCAAGGCCGGCTACCAGCAGCAGCCTGGCAGCGATGCCTGCCTGGACGTGGACGAGTGCCTGCGAGACCCCTGTCTCGGGTCCTGCCACAATTTCCCCGGCAGCTTCAAGTGCATCTGCCCGCCTGGCTTCCTCCTGCAGGATGATGGACACAGCTGCCTCGCTGCACCCACCACAGGAGAGCAGCTGGCAGGCACCGTGGGGACCACCGCCATCCTCCAGAGCACCAGCACCGCGTGGACCGTGGGCACCCCCAGCCCTGCAGCCATTCCTGGTGGGTTGACACCACCAGCCCCCACGGTGGTGGTGTCGGAGCACAGCCCCGAGCATGGCGCTGATGGCCCCCGGCTGCTCCTCTACTACATCCTGGGCAGCCTGGTGGCCATCCTGCTGCTGCTGGCCTTTGCCCTGGCCTTGGTGGCCTGCAGAAAGAGGGCGGCTAGGCAGGAAAAACCAAAAGCCAAAAGCGCGGCGGACAACTACTGCTGGGTGCCCGAGCAGCCTGAGAGCCGCAGCAGGGCAGGCAGTGAGCGCAGGTAACGGTGCCCACGCTGCGGGGCTGCAAGCAAAGGAAATCCAAAGTGAAGTGGGGTGGGCGATGTTCTTTCCGAGATGATTTTGCATGCCTTCGTGTCTGAGAGCCTGTCTTGGAGCTTTGGGCAAAGCAGGATCCGGTCCCAACCCCAAGGCAGGTGCAAGTGTTGGGTGAGCAGATATGAAGGCAGCCCAAATCATGCTGGGAGTGTTAGCTGAAATGTGTAAACCTCAGCTTCCCAAAGTGAAGGGTTAATGGGGAAGGAGCAGAGAGCCTGAGATGGAATGGTGTAGGGGTTCCCTGCCTGCATTGCTCCTCAGCTCTGCAAAACCTCACAGGACTTGGAAATTGCAGCCAAGGAGAATACTGATTTGGCTTCCTAAGAGAAAACTATTAATCTCATCTGTCATTCGGTCTCCCCTTCTCAGATTTAAATTGTGGAGCTTCCAAAGCAGCAATTTCCCTGCTCCCCCACCACCAATCCCTTGTCATTCAAAAAAATATATATGCTTATGACTGCATCCCTCTCCTTACCTACACTGCATTCTGCAGTCTGCCGTTCAACCCCCATGTTCCTCTTGTTCTCAGTGAAACAGGGTTCACATTTTGAAGTGTTTCACTGTGGCAAGAGCCATTAGCTGCAGCCACAAGCAGCTGGTTTTCACTGTTGATATTTTTGTTGTTGTTGCTTTTTAGAAGTTGTCATTACAGAAGCCGTAGAATAAGCATTTTAGAAGCCCAGCAGCAGAAAGACCCTCCAGCGAAGCAGGAGCTGTAGGGGTGGTGGGGCTTCAGGACTGTTTGAGTTAAGCATGCGTGGGGTCTGGGCTGAATGTTTTCTCCATCCATCCCTGTAAGCAATGTACTGGATGTTGTGTGTTCACTAACTACTGTATAAAACCTCTAAACACCCTTCAAAGCAAATGCTCTCTCAGGGCGAAGTTTCTCCCCCATCTCAGGCTCGGTCCTGCAAAGAAGAGGGAAGACACATCTCCCTCTGGATTTGTACCGCTGGGAAGCAGCAAGAGATGGAGCTGCTGGCTGACAGAGAAATGGGAGCACCCCCAGCAGTGCTGCATCCTGATTGTCCCAATGCAGGCAAGCACCCTTCACCCTAGCAGCAGGGAGGCAGCTCACGGCCTGCATTCATTTGAAGGGTACATCGGTTTCCTGAAGATTCTGCTGTTTTTATTGTATACTTGAGGCTTAATTGCAACAGAAATGGGAACTGAACACAAAGGATTTTGCTGCGGGCACTGACCTGCATCCTGTTCTTCCGCATGTGGAAGAAACCCCTTTCCTGCTGTTCTTTCTTCTTCATTCCTCCATTGTAAAACAAAACAAAACAGGAAAGTGTAGCTCCTAGCTGATAGAAATGTTTTTTTAATGTTCTGCTCGTGCTTCCTTTTCTCCACGCAGTGGTTTGGAGCAGCAGCAAATGCAGCAGTGGCGTTCTTGGAAGTCCTGCAGAAAATTCATAGCGTGTCTTTGTTATGACAGCAAGCCAGCAGAGCTTTCTGAATACATGAATAAATTAAGCAGATGAATAATCCCACCCAAATCAGTGGGATAACCTACATACAGAGCACAAAGCCTGCATGGTCGGTCTGCACTAACTCAGGGTCTGCATGGGGAAGGAGCAGTCACAGTGATGTGCCCCCCAGTTCAGGGCTGCTGGGTTTGCTGCATCAAAAGCCGAGGTGTTTTCAAAACAGTAATAGTCTCGGGAGCTTTTCTGCCATGCTTTTCCTATTATGGTATCATTTAACTGTTCTACACACAGCATCGACTCCACTCTGAGAAAGGGAAAAAGAAGCGTAAGCGCAGACTCAGAGCAGGCAAAAACCTGGGAGTTGTTCATTCCCAAAACCCCTCTGTAAAAACTGTAATCTTGACTTGTGTTGCCCAGTTGGTGTGTTCTGGTGTACATACTGCATCACCAGTGCAGCAGATCCTATGGCAGGCAGGCACTAATATGTGCTTAGGTTCAGTGTGGCTCTTCCAAGCAGAGTATTTCCTGATGTTGCTCCCTCCAATCTGGTGCTGTTCCACTTGGATAATCCCATCTCCCTTTCTTTCCACCATGAAAGCAGCAGGAACGTTTCAGTGTGTGTCCTCATCGGTTATCCAGAGCCCAGGGTGAAAACCTTGGGCTAAAGCAAATAGAATGGGATCAGACAGCTCAGGCTTACAGTCAGGAGAGAGGGAATCTCTTCGTCGCTCCATCTGCACACACCGAGCAGGTCCCATAACCATCTCACTGTCAGGATGGCAGGACTGGCCAGCCAACGCATCCCCAATGTTTTGAAGTGTTTTTTCAACTGTTTATTGTTTGGTTTTTATGGTCCAAGAATCCAGGCATACCTCACTTTATGTAAAAACTGCATGTCAGTACTGAGTTGTGCTTTGTGATGCCCAGAGCAGTGGCACAGCACCACAGCTGTTGGCTGCCTTCGACTGAAAGAAGAAAGTTCTCACATGCTGAACAGCACTGTACGTTGCTTTTCTGATCAAACACCAATAAAATCTAATGGAACACGTCTCCAGTGATTGCTTAATGCCTATCCTCAAATCAAATCACCAACCCAAACCTGCAGTGACCTAGGATAGCAGTGCACTAGTTCAGCCACCCAACCCACATCTGTTTTTTCCCATTTGTGAGAAAGGTGCTGCAAGGAAACAGACTCTGCCAGTAGAATTCAGAGAAAAGATATTGAGTAATGTTAACATATAATCTGCAAAAATACCATGTGCCTTGCTTCAAATCCTGTAAAGGCAGACACTGCAAAAACAAATGCTTTAAGTGTCTGCTCATTTCCTCTTTTTTATCTTTATTTTCTGTAAATATTTCTTGGCATTTGGCTCTTTCAAGGCTGGTAAGTGAGGCTGATGCCTTGCCAAGCAGATCTGCTGGTGACAATGTGACAGAGGAGAGATGGGGTTTTCCTGAGGACTCACCGTGCTCCTTGAGTGACTCCAGCTGCTGTGCAAGTGCTGGGGATGGTGCAAGGCTCAACACAAAGCTCATGGAGTTCAGAGCTTACTGTGCTTGTGTAAGCAAAACTCTCCGTGTTTCCTCAGGCAGGGGCTGGCAAGCTTCATCCAGCTGAGCGCAGAGGAACTCAAAAACCCCTCTGTCCTCTATAAACTGAGCCATGTGTCAACCATCGTTTACAGAAGGTATCAGTTAATTCCCCCAGATTTCCTTAGGGTGGGGAGATATTAAAAAATATCTCACAGAATGCCTTGGGTTGCAAAGGACCTCAAAGCCCCACAGCCCCAACCCCTGCCATGGGCTGGCTGCTCCCCACCAGCTCAGGCTGCCCAGGGCCCATCCAACCTGGCCTTGGGCACCTCCAGGGATGGGGCACCCACAGTCCTGGACAGCACTGCCAGGGCCTCACTGCCCTCTGAGTGAAGCATTCCTTCCTAACATCTAACCTAAATCTCCCTCTTTTAGTTTAAAGCCATTCCCCCTTGTCCTGTCACTATCAGACCACGTAAAAAGTCACTCCCCCCTCTTGCTTATAAGCTCCCTCCTGATACAGGGAGGCAGCAATAAGGTCTCCCCAGATTCTTCTCTTCTCCACGCTGAACAAGCCCACCTCCCCCAGCCTTCCTTCATGGGAGAGGTGCTGCAGCCCTCTGAGCATTTCTATGCCTTCCTCTGCACCCAACCAGCAGCTGTTGTGTCACAAGTCCAGGCAGTCACATCAGTTGCCCTTCCTTTGCCCACCAGTGCCATCACAGAACGCCATCAGATTGGTCAGCGAGGTGGCACAGAGGAGAATTAACCTCATTTTGGGGTCTCCCATGCCCCCAGGTCCCCAGCAGAAGGGTGTGCGCTCCCAACAGTCCGCTTTTAATTCTTCTCTCATTTCTGACATAGCTTGAGTAATAAAAAGGAGTGCTCTGTCAGCATCCTGGTATTCGGAGTCCCATTCCCCAAATCCAGCACATGAAAGAAAATCCATGACGCACAACCACAGCTCAGAAAACCCATTGCAAATGTCCACTATCAGCATTGCACTGGCAGAGGGGTGATGGTGGCATCTGGGGTGACTCAGACCAGACCAACATGAAAACTCCCCCGTTCTGTTATCACAACAGACAGCCCGTAGGAAGCCTTGCAACAACTGTAAGTTGCAGGGCACTGTGATTAATCAACTTTTATCGAGGAATAAGTGGTATGTCAGCAGGAAAGGCATTTCTTGATCTGTGACTCAGCCTGTCAGGGCCGTATGAGCAAATGCCTGGGATGGTTTGGGGCACCAAGGGAAAAGATCATAGAATAGGAAAGGCATTGTCAAACCACGATTAATCCTGTGTCTTCTGCCTCGCATGTCTCCTGCTACCAGCAAGACAAGGGCAAGGACGTCTGCATGGTGGTCCCATGCCTCACCCTTCTGGGAAAGCTTTGTTTTGGGATGGTTGGAAGCTTTCCTTGGAAAATGTCAAAATATTGGTCAGCACGCAGCCCTGAAGTGAAATTTATGTTTCCACAATATCTTTATAAAAACAAAACACACGGGTTTTTATTTTGTTTGCCACTGATTGTATTCCATCTTTCTGCTTTTCCCATCGTTTCCCCCGACCTTCCCCCACTATTCTGCTGTTTTGCTTCTGAAAACAAAACTAAACAGAAAGGGGAAGGAAATCTAGGCACAAGAAGTAGGAAAAAAAAAGCCATTAAAATGAAAACTGGGGGAAAAAAAACACTTTTTTTTTTTTTTTTTTTTGTTTTTTTTTTTTTAGTTGTTTTGCTTTTTTAAAGCCAAGAAAGATGGGCGTTACCAAGTGTTGGTGACAGCTCTCCTTCTGGCAGCGGCCAGAGCTCCTTTAGAAAGTCACTGCTGTATGAGTAACTCGTCCTTCCTTTCCTAAGGAATAACTTTCCATGAAGCCAGAGCAAGGGATACATGTCACATGGGAAGAGGGATGATGCAGGGCAGCAGGAGAGAGGGCAGGGATGAAGGGCAGCCCTGGGGCATCAAGCCAGCGGAGCTATTATCCATAGTAGTGATTATTATTAATGATCATCATTATCACTATTCCCTGTCTTTCCCTTTCTCCCAGTGCCCGCAGCCTCCCAGGAGCAATGGGAGAGGGCACATCAGGCTGGAGGGTGCAATAAAGTCACCTCCTCTCAAGGAGCGGAGCGCAGCAGCACGGATTTGTTTCTCTGCAGGGGATCCCGAGGGCTAATTGCTGAGGCTGAGCCTTCCAAGTAAAAAACATCCCTCTCTAAATTGAAAAGAAGGGTCAAATGCCCTTTTCCTTGAGTGGCGAAGCTTTAGATGTTTGCTTTTCATTTTTATTTTGCTCTCGGCCATGTTCTGATAGGAGAGGTGGATCCCGCAAGGATAAAAGCATGGATGGGGCCAAGCTGCCATAAAACCATGAGCAGGAGGCGGCCTCGCACTCCTTCCCCTGGAGAGCCACGTGATTGTTTTTAATTTCGAGCCCACACGACTTGCTTTAATTCCAAGCCCCGTTCCGTGCATAGCTGCTGCCATGCGGAGCACGGCGGATGTCCTTCTGCCCTCTCACCCCAAATCCCTCAGGCTTGCAAACTGCAAAGGAAGCCCGCAAGGGATTGTCGCTCATCCCTGCTGACACCGAGCCCCACAAGTGCGAGGAAGCGTTGTCCCAAGTTCCTCGCTAACAAAAAGCTTCGAAACCCCGGAGAGCTTACGGACTTTCTTTTCCCTTTCGCACAAAAACCTCGGTTTCTTCTCAAAAACCGATCCGGGCACCGTCCGTCCCCCCGGCGCTGCCACCTGCCGCCGGCGGCCGGGATCGCACGGCCGGGCCGAGGAGCCCCGCTGTGAGCCGCTACCCCGCGCTGGGGCTGCCGGGCTGCTCCGGCCCCCCCCCCACGGCCGCCACTCTTGGGCACGAAGCAGCCCCTGACCCACTGCCCTCCCGTGCCGCCACCGCTGTCCCCTGCCCGTCACAGAGGGTCCTGCGGCAGCCTCAGCTCTCCCGCGATTGCCTTCTGTTCTCATTCTTCTGATGTCCCCATATCTCCTCTCCTCTCCTCTCCTCTCCTCTCCTCTCCTCTCCTCTCCTCTCCTCTCCTCTCCTCTCCTCTCCTCTCCTCTCCTCTCCTCTCCTCT